AAACACTCTAACATATCCAGCAGCTATTAAAAGGGCCTTAACCCCAAGTTAAATCCTCTTCCAGAAGCAGATAGAGCTTGCAGGAAAAGGCACCAGCTCCTGACCACTCCATAATGAACAGCAAAGGCAGGGGGGCAAAGGCAACATAATTCCCACTTCTAATACCACAACTTCCCTGAAGCAAGAGGACTTCTGAAGTTGTCCCATGAGGACAGGAAAGGTGCAAGACTTGCAGTGGCTACCTCCTGCTTGGAGGTGGGACACCACCTCATGCTTGAATCTTCTCACCACACCACCCTTTGCCCTGTGCTGGCACCTCAAAGCACTCGTGGTAAAGCTGCAGGTACCAGCTGTTAGGCATCAATGGTCTCCTGAGCTATCACAAGCCACAGCAGAAATCAAATGCCAAGAAATATTTCTGGGAGAAGCAGAGACTAGCAGTTTTCCAAGTCAACATGTGACTCCCTCTGAAATGGTATTATTTAAGCCTGTTGCAAAAAAGGAACCAGAGCAAAAGGGCAAATCTCTCTGCAGAGGACGCACACAAATGCACGTGCTTCTCTAGGGGAAGGTCATCCCAACTCCCCAAAACTGCTTGCTTACACAAGAGTTTCCAGCAACTTCAAGCCCCTTTTTCCTCCAGTGGAAATCCCAGTGACATGTTTCCTAGCAAAGGGAAACTATTTCAACACCAAGAAGGAGAAACAAGTATTGACGAGTGTGCTGCAAGGAGCAATGCTCCGACCAGGCTTCCCAAGCCGTGGCCTTCCCAAAATAGCAGCATTTTGGTGGGAATTTTCTGCAAGTGCAGCACAGCCAAAGCATATATCTAATTTTTCCAAGTTATGCCCTTTGCCAATTTGGCTTCCATTTTCCCTTGCTGGCAAGAGTACTTGTACAGCAAGGGCTTTTCTGCTGTATTAACATCAGGTGTGCTTTGCTTTTGGTGATGTTACAGTGCCAGGAACAAGCCAGAATCAGAAACCCTTCTACGGGAAACCCAGACAAGATTCTCTTGCTCAAAAAGGGGTGAAAATTATTTTCTTCACACCAGTCAGAGAAAAGCAAAGCCCACAAATGCCTTTACATTTCTAAAAGAGCCAGGAGGCAAAGCACAGCACAAAGGGCTGCACTAAACAGACCTGACAGCCACTGGAAGTGATTATGGTACTGTAACATTTCTAAATATGCTCATGAGCTACTTGGGAGTAGGGGCAAAGACAACTCTGTGGTCAAAGCCATTAGCTATGGGTGCATGAAAGACTCCCCTCAGGCTGGTTATTTTCACAAGGCGTATTAGGGTTCTTTATATTCCCCATAGCAGCAGCCACCAGCGATCCCACATACCACAAAGTGCCACAGACCATTGCATCTCCTCAGCTGCACGTTGGGCTGACAGGGTACACGTCATGCCACAGAAATCCTGTCTTTGAGCAATCAGCCCCAAACATCACAAGAGGAAGCCAAGGCTGTCAACTGGCTTGAATTCCATTGTTATTTCCTTCTCTCTGGATGGCCCTTTGAGCTGCACGGGACAGGAAAAACAATATATGAGCAGTTCCTGGGGAGCCTCACATCATCCTCAGCCCTGTGCTGTGGCAGAAACTGTGCTAGGGGGCTTGCTTAGTTGAGGTCTTCCACTAATGACTTCTGGGAGGGAAAGAAAAATAGTGAGGGGTTTAATACAGATACTTTAATGGACACGCTGCAGGCCAAGAACTTGCTACTGCTCAGATGGTTCAGTGTGTATGCTCACACACAGACTGGGAAAAAGCTCCTGCCATGCCAAAACCAGCATGGTTTTTGCTGGAGCAAAACCACTCTCCTACCTGGTAGAAAGGGGATGATCCTTTGCTTGGGGTCCTTCTGCCCTCCTTCCATCGGAAACTTGTCCAGCATTTGCATCTAGAAAAGGAAATGAAAGACAGGTTACCAGCAGCCACAGATGAGCCCGAGGAGGACCTGCCTCCCCCAGGCACTGCAGTCTCCTAGGGCAGCACTTCTTCCCCAGCCTCCCTGGACAAGCCAAGGTCTCCTGCTTTCCATCAGTCCATGAAAATACAGGAGGACACCCCATCGCCGATATCCCATAAAACACCCACACTGCATTATGGTGGAGAGGTGCCTCTGGCCCTGCTCTGCCTGTGGGGAAGGGCTTGGGAAAGCTTGTGACTGGAGAAGGGCAAAGAAAACAAGCTGCACATCTGATTGCTGTTAAGCTACGCAATCCCTGAGTCACTGGAAGCTTTCCCCCGCCTCTGTTTGAACTCGAGCTGAGGATCTCTCGCTCCCAGAGCACTGTGAGCCTCCAAGGCACAAACGGTGCAAGCTGTGTTTTCTCCCATTAGCACGTGCCTGGGCTGACCCTCTGGCTAGATCTGCTCCCACCCATGTGATCCCACCAAACCCGTCCAGAACTTCAGCCCAGATCATCTCCATTTCCCTTTGCCTGGCTGAAAGTGCCTCTGGCAGCAGCTGCTCAGCGGGGGGAACCTCTCACTGCAGCCCCCCCGCCCTGCCCCAGCCCAGCCCGGTGCCACCAGCAGCACCCCAGCCAGACCAGAGCCCACATCAGGGCCTGTGTGGGTTGGCACCATTATGCCTGTCACTCACAAGCTCTCTCTCTTCTCTTGCTGGAGAGAGGAAAAGAGGTGGTGAGGTGCCTGGAGAACCCTCCAGCACGTACAGGAAGAGGAGAAGATGGGGAAGCAGCAAGGCAAGGACTCGGTCCCACAGATGCCACATAGCCTGGCTGCCACATCATGCAGCTCTGGAGGAGGCAGCAGCAAATACTAGTTCACCAGTTTTCCTACGCATGAGCCTGTAGGAAGAACAGCTAAAACACTCAGTCCAAAGAAAACAAGCCCAGCGCTGGCTGTAACCACTGCAGGCAGTTTGGGATAGCAGACACAGGAGCACACATCGGCAGAAACGCAGCCCGTGGCTGATGGTTCTGCTGCAGTGATACACACACACACACAAGCACGAAACTGCGACCAGAAAATACCAGCTCCAGACGTGAGAGATGCCCCAGAGGCAAGGAAGGTCTCCAGAGAGCTGGCAGATCTCCAGGCTTTGAAGTGCCCTGCATCTTTTCTGGCCCATCTTAGTCCTGTTGACTTTGCAGGATGGGGACTACAGCACAGGTTGCTGCACTGCTCTTCCCCAGGAAAGGCAAGGAAAGCAGGCCCAGCTCTGGAAAAGGGATGGGAAAAGCGTAAAAGTGCAGCAACTCCACCAGGCCTGGAGGAGGGATACACAGACAGGCATCAGGAGATGGTCTGCTGAGTCCAGCACCAAGAACACCCTCCTCCACAGCCATGGCAGGGAAACACACTCCCCACCAGGCAAAAACTGTGGAAGGGAGGTGGTTGGCACGGAGAGATCCCAAAAATCTTCTCTGAGGGAGGGTTTCCATCCTGGCTACAAACAACACTGCTTGCATCACATTCCCAGAAGGGGCCATCCAAGATCCTGGGGAGACAGGCAGACAGGAGGCAGAGAGACACAGCCCTCTGGAGCAGTGCTTTCCCCGCCAAGCATAGGAGAGCACAGAGAGGCCAAGTCTTGCTCTTAACAATGCACTCAGCCAGGTTGGGAAGAAAAAATAAAGGGAAAGAACCTCAGACAATAATTCTATTGTTTATACCCTTCCAAGACTATTTTTAAATATTTGTGGCAGAAAAGAAAATAGCAAAAAAAGACTGGAGTGGATGTAGTTTAAAGCATTTTGGCGTGCTTTTATTACGTGGGAAGCTGTTGTATCACTCTCTTCACTGATCCCTTGGCATCAGGGAGGGGGATAACAGGCTGCCAAGACTCTGGCTCCCAGATCCAGGACTGGGGCACGCAAGCCCAAGTGATATATGCAGTCCACAGCCAGGCTCCCCACAACAGAACGTCAGGACAACCCATGTTTATCCACATTTATCTCCACTACCAATTTATCTTATCAATTAGCTGTTTTTCTTATTAACCCAGGAATGTCTGGGCAGTGAGTGTGCCTGGAGTGAGTCAGAGGTCTGTGCACACTGTGGGAGCCCACTGTCCCCATCCCGAGCTGTCCATTAACAGGGCAGGCGATAACGCCGCTGGGGATGGGGAGCCTTTGAAAAGCAGCTTTGTACTAACAGGCAACACGTTGGCAGACAGCTCCTTCATCAACAGGAAACTCGTAAGATAATATCCTAATTGAATCAATTAAGAGTGCAGTGGGCTGCAGGGGATCCCAGGGAGAGGGGAATGTACATGCTCAGCAGTATTCCCAGGAAGCAGAGGGCTTTGCCCAAATAAGAGCTGATGGTGCGGTGCCAGAGGGATACACCATGCAGATGGCACAACCCCAGAGATATGTCTGCTGAAGGAGCAGGGCCTCAGGTCTAACAGCCTGCAAGCAGGCTATATCACTTCCCAGCTGGAATAAGCCTGGGGAAATCACTGCCAAAAAAACACAACCTCAGGTCAAGCGCCAGTAGGTAATAAGGTATGTCATCACTTTGCTTCTTCTCAGCTTTCCACAATACAGTGGAAGTTTTCCCTCTAAAATATAAAGGTGACAGAAAAAAAAAAAAAAGATTTTCATTTACATCTGGTTTAAAGCAAAACATCACAGCAAACCAGTGAACACCAAGGTCCTGATTCTCCCAAGAACAATGAACCAGAAGGGCACAGAATTACTCCTGCAGCAAGTCCTGGGCAGCTGGGGGACTGGGGGATTTGTCTTTTGTGAAGCTGCTCTAAAGCCCAGATTCTCCATGACTGACCATCAGGGCTTGTGTGGCACCTACTAGGGCTATGGAAGAGGAAGACAGTCTGTGCCAGCTTCTGCAGGTGGCTCACATCCCTGAACAAGTTATACCACCACAGGCTGAGGGGTGATGAAATACCCAGGCAAGGGAAGCAAACTCTTCCACTCTTGCACTACACCAGGAGCTGATGTTGGAGCCAGGCCATGAGCCATAATCACAGGCATGGGGTGAGGGAAGTTCCCCCTCTCTTATCAAGAGCCAATGGGCAGAAAGTGATGCACAGGAAGTTCCACCTGAACATGAGGAAGAACTTCTTTACTGTGCAGGTAAAGAACACTGGAACAGACTGTCCAGAGAGGCTGTGGAGTCTCCCTCACTGAGGATATTCCAGAACTGTCTGGACACAATCTTGTGCCATGTGCTTTGGGATGACCCTGCTTGAGCAGGGTGGTGGGACCAGATGAGCCTCTCTGGTCTCTTTCAAACTGACCCATCCTGTGATTCTGGGATTTGCTCTGCCTGCTTGACAGAGGTTTGGTGTAAAACCACATTCCCCTTTGCGGTCTAGCAAGCGAGAGCTGACCTAATCCATGCCTCCAGCAGACATGCCTGTTATCCAGAGCAGAGAAGCCAGCTTTTGACATCACCCAAAGGGAAAAAAATTAAAAAGAGTTCAACAAAAAGCTTCACAGTCGGGTCGAGTGCGGTGGCAGAATTACAAGAGACTCTTTGTGAGAGCAACAGCATCCCTGCTGAGAGAAGGCAGCAGTGTGCCATGGGGAAAAGATGAGTCTGAGCCAAGCCTGCTCTCATCCCACAGTCCTTAACTCCCCATCGGCCCCATCCCTTGTGAGCCGGAGAATGCCACAGGCAGCCAGGAACACCACGTGTCCCAACGTCCCTGTGGTGGCGAACTCCAGATGAGGACATTCCCATGCACTGCTCCCCCTGACCTCCACGTGCTCAGCTGGCCATGAGCCACATCTCCTCTTACAGGAAGAATGCAATTCACCAAAGGACAGCACCTCACTGATCCTCAGACGCAGTGGGAAAGGGATGCAGGTCCAGCAGTCGCCTGCCATGACAGGAGCACCCGTCCCTACGGGGACATGATGAAGGACACAGTTGCATGCTGAGAACTAGAGACTTTGTAAATGTGTTCTGCAGATCAAAAGCACTCTTGAGCCCTGGAATCAACTGGTTTGGGAAATATCTGCCAAGGAGATAGTCTGGGAAAGAGAACGACATCTGGCAGCAGCTCACAGGCTACTGATGTTTAGTCTCTTTGCGATCCTATGAGAGGCACCTTCCCTGCATCTGTAAGGACTGTCTGTGAAGAAAAAGGGGGTGAAAAATACAACCACCCAGAAGACAGAAGGACTAACACAGAGCAAGCTCAGCCCTCTAGGAGAGCTCAGGAGGTCAGTCCCAGGGAAGGGCTCCGGGGTTGCAGCACCATGTAACACCCCTTTCCATGGCCAAGGAGAGCTGGGTGTTCACAGACAGGAGCGGGAGCTGAAAGGCAGAACAAATGAGCAGTGTGACGAGTTCAAGTGCATTTTACACATTACCAGGCAGAGGCAAAGCTGGCCTCCTCAGCACTAGGAAGTGCCATCACAGAGGCTGGATTGTGAAAACCTGATGGAAAACTTTAAGCATCGCTCAGCAATAGACAAAAAAAGAATTAACTGAGGTCAGAGAAAAAAAGGGCCACACAAATTGGCAGCAGCTGCCACTGCAAGAGAAATTTCCTATGAAATCACAGGAAGCATTAGACAGACACTGGTGCCTGTGAAGAGCTCCCTGGCACAGGGAGCAGCAGGCACGGGGTTGGGCCAGGATGCAGATCCGTGTTCATGCTGCCCCCCAGGCACCCCCAGGACCAAGCCACAGCCAGGTCTGTATTACCTGTGTTACCCCAGCAGGTGCTGGCCCATAACCACATGGATCAAACCTTGAGCACCTGGTATTTCACAGAATCACAGAATGGTTTGGGTTGGAAGGGACCTTTAAGATCATCTCGTTCCAACCCTGTGCCATGAGCAGGGATGGGGCGCTGAACAACCTGGTCTAATGGAAGGTGTCCCTGCCCATGGCAGGGTGGTGGAACGAGATGAACTTTAAAGTCCCTTCCAATCCAAATCATTCTGTGATTTTATGATTCTATGATTTTTGGAAGGCCCGAACAACTCCTGCTTGTTTTCCCTCCTTTTGTAAGCCTCTAAAGAACATATTTGGGAGAGACTAAGGAGAGAGTTTAGTTTTAAAAAAAGAAAACCTTGGATTTGGAGGAGAGCACTGAGTGATCTCCATTTACACAGCCCCCTCACAGAGCTGCTGATCGCTCTGTCTGCTTTTTGGGTGTTTAAAATATATCGCTTTTTCCTTTCAACCCATTGGTATCAAGTCCTAGAAGTCATCATTCTTGTTACAGTACTTTACTAATCCATTTTCCACTTAATTCCTGGTCGCTGCAGCCTCCAGATGGCATTTGGGTAGGCAGGTCCCAGGCTGCAGAGATGAGCACAGAACACAGCAGCACTTCATGTGGGCACTAGAAACAGAGCATTAACACCCCCAAAGCACCAACCCTGCATCATCCATGATTCACCACATTGACCCAGCTGTGGGAAGTGACTCCTGCTGGTAGATGGGCAGAGGAACAGAACAGGAATACCCGGGGGTGATGCTGGTCTGTGCCGCTTCCTCTTCCCCATCCCGTCCATGGGAACATCCCTCCAGCACAGCTGGGGCTGTGTCACACAGGAAGCACCCCTCGAAGAAGCATGGGAGCAGGGAAGAGCTGGCACAGCCTAGTGCCAAAGACCACAGAACCACCACCACCACCATCGCCGGAGCTGTCACTGCTGCAGGGAAGGCTGCACAGGCAATCTGTGTTCACCTACATCCTCCTCTCTAGCATCCCAAAGCAGACATGCTTGGAAGAGCAGGAAGCCATAAGATTTAGTTTCTATTGTGGAAATGGAAACAACAATGGAGAAAAACCAACACATCTGCCCAATTTCAGGCGTTGAGCAGCCGGGGCGGAGCAGGGGGAGGGCTGTGCTCATGTACTTATTTAGTGTCACACCTGACATGGTGCTTCACCCCAACAGCCAACTCCATCAAGCCTTTCAGCAATGGGTCACAGAGCAGCTCCATGCACACACCACCCCACTCTGAGCCGCTTGGCAAAACCTCAAGATGGCCTGCCCCAGCTCCTCCCCAAAATAGCACATGATCTGATTTCTCTTCGACCCCTCCCTTCCAAAAAACCTTCCCCACTCAAGATGAGGAGAAGCAGAGCGATGCACATTCCTTCTCTGAAATTAATGCAAAGTCTTCAATCTGTGGCAGGCCCAAACATGATGAGACAAAGGAGGAGGCAGCATCTAAGTTACAGGTAGGGCTGCAAAACTGCAGGCTGACCCCTTGGGAGAGCACTGCTGGTCAGAAACACCACCCTCATGACCCTCTTCTTGCATCAGACTTCTTGCTAACCTGCTATTTTCCCTGCTGTTCCTTCCCTAAATGCAAACCCCATTTTCCAAATGAGCATAGTCAGCAGAAAAGCCAATATGGTGAGATTTTTGTCTCCACACAAGGAAGGATTTCATTTCACTTGGGCTCATGGTGGTGTCATCAAGAGCAGCTCCACAGCAGCTGGGAGAATTATACAAGTGAAAAACAAGGCACTGCAGCTCCCTGAGGCTTAACTGGTCAAAACCACGCTCTCCATATGAAGATAGATACACCTTAGTCCTCAGCATGACCGTGCTCATTTGTGCTCTTCCCAGCTGACAATAAAACTCTCTGTCTAGCAGAGACAGGAGCTGATGGAACTCTGGAGCCTCACAGACCAGTTCAGCTCCAGTGTGAACCCACCAGCATCCCCACCACACCTGCACCACCAGCACATCTCCCTTATGAACCACGCTGTCCTTGTATTCCTCCATTTCCAGAAAGGGTGGGATTGAAAGGTGCCAAGCTCAGAAATGCCCAAGAACCCCAGCTTGGGCAGGAAGCCTCTGCAAATAGTGCATTCCCACTGTGGGGAAGTGCTGGGGCCGGAGCCAGGCACTGCCACCATCCACATGACAGCAGGACAGGACTGGGAGCACTGCAGGGTTCAGACAGTCCCTGACAGAAGGCCAGAGCTCACCAAGAAACTGCACTTATTGCAGACCCAGACTGTTAAGTGCTGTCTGGTGGAGGAGACCAGCCCCCACGGCTTAGGGAGGAGTTAATGCACTTACCAGGGAGGGCTGAGCAGGTGCCGAGGAGCTGGGGAACGGGGAGCCCCACAGGGAGCCCTTGGGAGTGCAAAAAGCAAATGCAGCTCAACTCCAGGGGAAATGCCATCCTAACCCGGGATATTCGCCCTTTGCCAGAGCCCGGAGCCAGCAAACACAGAGGCACCCTGGAGGAACCCCAGCAGCAGGCAAAGTGCAGCAACCCTGCTGCTTTCTGTGCATTTAAACACGAGAATGCAGAGTTCACACAAAATTCAGCCCAAACTGCCTACCTTGGACTGCACCTGCCCTTTTAGGATCCAGCCAAGATCAAGCAATGCCAAGGGTTTCCAGCATAAAACCTCTAAGGAGCATGGGCCCTGGCAGCACCGTCATCTGAGAGCTCTTCTCAAAGTGTCATCTCACCACAGAGACACAAAGAGAGAAAATGTGGAAAACATCTGGCCAAATGCACTGACTGGTAAAGTAACACCCTGGTTTGGGGGCTTAAAGCAGCCACCTGTTGGCAGGTGGAGTGAAGTTGACCCCCAAACAGAAACCTTGGAGCTCCTGGGAACTTTTCAAGGGGACTTTTTTATTTCCTGGAGCTAGGAGGAAAACTGGAAAATGCTGATTTGCCAAGAAGAAAATCAGCAGATGAGTGAGTATCCATTACAATTAATGTTTCAATTTTAAACACTAAAACCTAACTGCTAAAATTAAAATGCACCTTTTTTTTAATGCTTTAAGTGACTCACCAAGGGGAAAGCCTTTTAAAGAAAATTAATAGTGAAAAACCAAGAGAACTTCAGCCTGCAGCACAAGACAGGGACAGGTCTCACCTCCATCCTCCTCCTCATTCCTGGCTCTCCAGGAGCCACTCCAAGCTTGCAGAGCTGTTTTTCTACCAACCTGGGGAGAGGGATCAGTCCCAGAAGGGTCTCAAACCTGTTTGCAACCAAACCACTCGCTGAGGGAGGTATTTCTCCCAGTCTGCTACAACAAAACGTCTTCTTCCTCTCCAAAAAGGTCAAGTACCAGACCATGGCTGATGCTAAATGATCAGCTTGCAGAGGAAAATGGGAGTGCAAGGAAGTCTTCATAAGGTACACAACAGCACCTTCTGTATTGAAAAATACCTGGTTTGGCTAAGGTAATATGGTATCAGCACTGAAAAATGACACTCAAATTAAAGCTGCTTCTTGCCCAAACCCTAAATGTTCTATCAAAGGCAGTATTAAAACAATAAATTCACCTCCCTTAATTATACCTCCCAAACCTAATCTCCAAGATCTCCAAGATCTAATTTCCATGCTGCCAGGTAAAGACAGCCATAAACATCATTTATAATTCACTACTCAGTGACTCACTCCGACTGCAAAGGCCTCGAGATATGGTACCAGTAAGGCAGAAAGGCTCAGGGAAGGGGAATTACAACAGGGAAAATGCTGGCTATCCTCCTGCCCCCTGAGAACATTTCCACCCTAGGTTACTGCTCACACTGCAATCCCAGGTAAAAACAGAACATGGAAGTTACCACAGAGGAGGGCGTAGAGCAGCACCCCACATCCCAGGGATGTGTGGGAGCCATGAGGCAACGAGAAGATGAGCAGAAGTGAACAGAACAGCACTGCAGCACCCCTGTGGCAGTGGAGGAGCAAAGCCTCAGCCGCTGGCAGGAAAACCATGGAGTCAGCATGGCACCACGGAGCGGACAGGCTGGCTGCCGGAGCCCTGCTGCATCCACCCACTGGCACCATGTCACATTGTTCCCTCTCCACTTTCTGGCTAACAAGGTCCCCCTCCCGGCTGCCTGGAAGCCGTGAGTCATGGAGGAAGGGCAGATCCTGCACACCCAGCCTTGCTCAACCCACAGGGTCTCCACCAGTCCAGCTGATGGAATGACATCTGCAGCTGGCACAGACCTGCCTTTCTCTTCCCTCCCACAGGGTGCCTGCCACACACCCAGGAAAATTCTGTGCTGGATCCCAGCAATGGGAATCAGGAGACAGACAAGCCTCAGGGCAGAGAGTGTGTAGGAGAAGGGGAAAAAACATGCAGGAAAGTAAGAAAAAAGGAGCATCACTTCTTGGATGGAGCAGAGTGCTGGGAAGGGCGAGGAAGTGGTTAAATCCTTCACTTGTGCCCGGGTCCATCAGGACCCCGGGAGACCACTGCAGAGGCTCACACCTTGCTTTGCAAGGGGATTCCAAGACTGCAAGACATCCTCCAGCAAAAGCACTTCCAACAGGCAGCACAGGAGCAGTGATCTACAGCACTGTGGTAGACCTATGACAGCCTGATGTAATCCACTGAAATGCATGGAAGAGAGTGAGAAATCAGGACTGCAGAAAAAAACACGTCGTCCCTTTGACTTTATCACCTTCCTCTACAAGGACAAGCCCAGAACCACCATCTCCCAGCTCTTATTTCCCTCTTCCACTCACCATAAAACTGCTTCCACTTCTTAATGCCCATGATACGTGGGGTGGTGCACGCTGCTGTCCACACTATATCATATGGATTTAGCAAAATAAACAGGTCCTGACCATTTTACTAAAAATCTACCACTCTGAGACACAGCACTCCTTTACACTGATTTACTGCTATCCATCCTCAGCTTCTCCCCAGGCAGCATCAATCAGCTTGAAAGTGGTTCATTTTGGATCCAGGGCTGCTGCCACATGATATAAATTGCAGGTCTTTCCACCAGAAAAGTGGGCTGTGTTAGACTGATTAAGAGCAGGTGGAGACGCTGGGTCTTGCATCAGCCTAGACCCACAAAACCTCACCAAAATCCCCAGTCACAGACAGGCACCTGCAGCAGGGCCCTGGGCACCTCCCCAGGGACAGATCCCATGGGCACTGGGCAGGGGAGGGACCACCAGTGAGGTCCTGCCATCCTGGAATCCTGCTCAGCCCTCCCGGGAACGAGGCTGCTGAATTTCCAGAGTTTATTCAGTAAGTAGCTGGGGAGTGGACGGGCATCAGCTCACCCCTAACTCAGGGAGAGGGGTGTAACCCCTCGCCTCACGTTACAGGACAACCTTTAAACATTGCATTATCGAAAGACTCACCAAATAAAACAACACTGGATTGTCAGCACGAGACCTTAGCTACATCCCCAAGGGATGGAACTTCTATCCTCCCCATCCTTCTGCCTCCCCCCTCCATGGGTTGTACTCAGGCTCCCCTCTGGATCTCTCATCCTGCAGTGCTTCTCCTGAGATGTACTTCCCCTGGGGCTGGGAAGCAAAGGCTATGAATGTTGTCTCCTCCAGCTGCGCTGCCAAGTTTCCAGAGGGAAGGAGACCAGGGGTGCCAACAGGGATGAATGAACAGAGAACAGGCTCAGGAGCCAGCCCTCTTTTGCCATCGGTCCATCAGGGCAGCGCCAGGCGATGCGTCTGGGAACAAGGGACAACCTGATGGGAGCAGGCAGAGAGGGGCTCAAAGCAGGAGTGTGTGGAGCTGCACGCTTGGAGAGAAAGGGAAGGGCAAGCAGCTTGGAACTAACCAAGAGCCACAGAGTGCTGTTCTCAGCAGCTGCTCAAGAAAGCCTTTAGCTACGAGAACTGAAAACTATTTCTCCTGCAGACACAGATGCCCCAGGTGTACACTGGACTGGGAACCCTCCTCCAGCACCAACTCTCAGGGAGGACAAGCTGCCAATTCCCAGGGGCAGGCACAGCTTTCAGCAGCCCTGCTCTCCTGCCAGGCACGGAATGCAAAGCGAGTCAGGGTGCCAGCCCGGGCCAATTATAACTCAGTGACCTGCCTCGGCACCAGCACGCACGGGAATGTGCCGACTCCTGCTGCCAAACGCTGGAAAGCTATAAATGGGAGACATTTGGAAAGAGAAAACATTAAGGAGCCAACTTTTAACTAGGTTGAAGTGCGTTGGACTGTACATGTTCTTTGTGGAGGGAGAGAGGAGGGGAATGATGGAGATCTTAGATGCACTGCTGGAAAAATACTGGTGGTTTCTTATGCAGACAGAGGTTGTCCTCATTTAATGGAAAGTGTTTCTCCTTCTCTTGAGTTCCATTATGGGAATTCACTATTTCTACACTTCTGCACAGGGTGTTTAAGCTGCTGGCTCTCAGAGCAGTCTGGGCACAGAGGAAAAAGCAGTTGCTAGTGCTCTGTAGCAGAAACCTCACCGTAGGAAGCTGTGGGTTTTTTCTTGTCCTCGGTCACGCAAGGGCCTGTCTTTCATGATCCAGCTGCCTAAGAGCAAGATCCTGGTGATTTATCTTTGTGGCGGGGTGAAACCACGAAGTACATTGCACACGCAACTGCACAGAATTTTGCTGAACTCCACAAACCCTGGAGGAAAAAGAAATCCCCAGAGTGTTGAAATAAGATTCCTGTTATGCAATAGCTATTGAAGGAGCGCTGTTTACAATCCCTGGACACAAAAAGGCATCCATCTCCCAAAGCCACAGCCTGGTAGAGCTGCCTTAGGGCTTTTCCATCAAAGAGGCCGCCCAGATCAGGCACCACGAAGGAGAGGGGGGAGATTCAAGGAATGCCCTGGATGGTGTTCCCACCTGAAGGAGCCTTGTGCTGTTTGGGACACATCACTCAGCACGCCTGCCCCTTGTTTTCCACCTCTGAATTAAGATAACAACACTCCACCTTTGTGAACTGTGTGCCCTGGCAGGAGTCCAGGTTAAAGAGCAGAGGAGGAGGAGGAGGAGTGCAGGCAGAGGGAAGCAAGCACAGGGCTCACAATACTGGAAGAAATGCAAGAGGCTCATTTTCATTTTTCAAGAGTCCAACTGCCTGAAACAAGCTGATGAGAACAATTCATCTTTTTGTGCCAGCTATAGTCTTCTAAGCCCATTTTAATGTGGTGTTTTATTTAAAGACAGCCTGAATCTCTAACACACAGACTTTTCCCTCCTTCCCTGCCTTTGCCTGGCGCCTCACACAACAGGTGAGGAACCCCCTCCAGAAGGCCTAATCTGTCTTCCACATCAAGATGACAGGCACAGACCATTGCCTTTTGCCAGTTTTCTCATAGAAGTAGGCACCACTTCAACAGACAATTTATTTTTTGGTGTTACACACAAAGCTGTTGTCCTGAGGGCTGCATGACTCTGTCCAAGATGACATGGCTCCAGGTGGGTCAAAGCTGAAAGTGTCCAGCTAAGAACCTGAAGGACATGAAGCAGGGCTCCTGCCCAGGGACAGCACAGGGGGCTGGTAATATCAGGAAAGATATAAAAGGGTTGGGCTTGGATGTAAAGATGTTTTAGGAATGTATCAAGAGAACAGTGGCTCTTGGTCACCTCAAGACTTGAAATGACTATCATCGTGGCTGATGAGCTCATAATTACAGAGTGGGGAAAAAATGTTTCTTTTTGGGGGTTTCCATAAAAAAACACGAAAGACAAGCCAAAATGTGTTCTCTAACCAACAGTCCTTACAGCCAATGGTTTCAAGAGGATTCTTCCAAGAAACTTGTTAACCTCCTGCCGAGTGATGCATCCAAAGTGATCCAATAGAGCCCTGCAGTCACTGCACAGCTCTTCCCCTGCCAGCACAGATGGAAGCATCTCTCAGGCACACCAGACCCTGATCCTTTATCTCTGTCCACCACGTCTGATCACCAACTTCCATGCCAGCAAACACTCCCAGCATACCTGCCAGCCCCAATTAGTGTCCTGGATACAACTGGCATCCTTGCAAACATCAATCTTACTGCCTTTATTTCTTAGGAACAGATTCCATCTGCTCCCAATAGCTCACATCTGGCATAATGAGTGTTATGCAAGAGCCTCAGTCCTATTTGAAGGAAATTATTCCTCCAGCTCAGAGATTCATGCAGAACTGAGTTTGGTGTTTGCAGTTACAAATTTACTACGAATCATACAGTTACAATACGTTGCAAGCTTTGGAATTACAATTTTATCTTTCTTAATCCCTAAAATGTTGCCCTCATGTAAATTGCCACATGATGGAAAACATTTATGGAGCAAACAAGGAGGAGAAGCAGAAGGAACCTGAGCACAGAGGATCTACACAGCAAAAATGCTTCTGAGCTCTGCCCAGGTCACTGTGAGATTTCTCCTGCAAGGAGTAGGGTGTAGGAGGTGGAGTTGACCCTCAGCTTCATCATTCTTTTCTCAATTTCACCACCTGACATAGAATACACTGAGCCTCCCTGGGGTGACCCCAGAGCAGGAAAGGGCATAACCTGCACGATTCCCAAAGGAGGAGAACCACCACTTCATCTGCTTAAAACACTGGCCTGGGACTAGGAAGAAGCAGCAGCTTGTACCTCGTGCTGGGATCCAAGAGATCAGTTGGGGAAGAAGTGTTGGTCACCAACCCTAAAAGAGAAGGTGACAACCTCCTGCGTGACAGTGAATGGCCCTTGGTGTGATCAATGGAATGGAAACAGGTAATTAGGCCAGCCTTGGAAGGGAAATGCAGGGTGGTGCTTGGAAAGGCTGCTGTAGTGATGAGCTGTAAACCTGGACTTCTGCAGGAGAGGGCCAGGTTTGGGCTTGGGCACCAAAGGGTAGAGCCCTGCAAGTCCACAGTACTCGGGCCAAACCTCTAATGCTCTCACCTGGTAACAGCACAGCCTTTGTGGCATTGCTGTGACCGGCAAGGTGGCTTTAGACATTCCCCATTTCAGCACAGGGAACACAACTGGTCTGACATCTCTGCATCCAGACAGATGCAGGAAGGATTTTTTCATGGAAAGGGTTGTCAGGCATTCGAATGGACTGCCCAGGGAGTCAGAAGTCGCTGTTCCCTGAAGGTGTTCAGGGAACGACTGGACGTGGCACTCAGTGCTCTGGTCTGGTTGACAAGGTAGGGATCAGTCAAAAGTTGGACTCGATCTTGGAGCTCTTTCCCAAACTAAATGATTCTGTGGAGTCAGAGACCAGTAAACTCCAGGCTTCACTCCTGTTTTGGCTCAGCAGATGGTTTGTTTTGAATGTCATTCCTGCCTGGCTGGGGAGGGAAGGACACTGCCCTCCGGTTGCAGTGGGAGCCGGCGAGGCTGTCAGTATTGAGCGTGCACGTGTTTTACTTGGCCCTACTCCTAAAATAATTGTTTGGCCACAATGGAAGGTGACAAGCAAATCAGCTGTGGCCCCACAGGGAACATCAGGAGAAAATCCCCAGCCACTCACATGTCTGTGGCTGTGCTGCTCTGAACTGCAGCATCACAACAGCCCAGGGTCAGCCCCCACCAGCCCTCACTCCTGCCCCACCAAGTTCCCCTCTTGGATCAAATGTCTTCCATCTCACTGACAAAGAAGACTCACTGAGAGCAAATGAGGGTGCACCAACCTTTACCTGAATATGGCCAGAGCTGCTCTTGAAAAAACAGAACCCTGCTCAGCTTCTGACAGGAGCGTGAAAAGCACAGCCAGAATCACTGGGAACACTGATATTAAATTAACAAATATCTCTACGCAAACATGCATGTACTGCAATTGCTCAAGGCTGTAAGTATGAATAAATTTGGATGGATTTTCACTGGATAACGTGAAAGACAGATTCTTGACACAGAGATCACCTGCGACTCAAGTTTCCAATTCTTCCTCCAACGCATCAAAAGATCATCAGACCTGGACCTGAGAAAAATATTTTCCCCTCTTACTGTTTTCAGAAGCAGCTGAACCATTTTAGTCAGTCAGGGTTTTCTGTGGGGGTTTTGTGGATTTTTTTCTTTTAATAACCAGAGGCATGAATAATTTCCAGCATGGAAAATTCCTGCCTAAAGAGCTAAAACTGGCATAGAATCATCCAACAGTCACACAATAAAGCCCTCCAGCAATGGCAACAGTCAGTGCTACCAGGCCTACCTAGAGCATTTTTTTCCACTGTGCTAGGAGGATCTGTTTCACTCCTCGCCTTTCAATCCAATTTCCACTGTACTGCACCACAAGTTTAAAATAAGGACACCAGGAAGCATGTGCGATAAGGGGGAAGGAAGAGAAAAACCACAGACTCCTTCATTCTTTCAACAGAGACAAAAAAGAATGGTTACTTTTTATTTTTTTTAAGAAAAAGTTGCAAGGAACCAGGAAGGGGGAAGATGTTTGCTTTAAACTTTTTCATCTGCACCATAATACATATATAGATATAATGTATATATAAAGTACCTCTGACTCCAAAGGTGCTCCAGGGTATTTTGCAGAGCCAGTTTGAGGCTCTGACTCCAGACAGCCCCCAGTGATGGCACTTCCCCTTTAGGAGCATGCATAGATCCAGCCAAGATGGAAGGGGATGGAGACAGGAAGGATGGCCACTCTTCCCTAAATTCTTTCCTTAAGAGGAGCAAGGCAGCTCAGGGAAACAACACAGCTAGAGGCACCATTTTATCAAATAAACCCCAAAAGATTGTGCCTGCCTTGCAGCAAACAACAGAATGAGCTTGGCCACCACCTTGGAGCACCAGTGAAGATAAGATGCTGTGGAGAAGGAAGCACGAGTTCCATTTCCTTCCAGCCCTGGCTGCTGCCCAACAGCTGTTCCCTGTTTATTTACTTTAGTATTTCCTTGGTTACACAAGCAGCTGCACACAGCTTAACCCCTGCCTGCACCAGAAGCTGCCCGTGCCACCCTACCTGGCCTTGCCCAGCAGGATGATGCAGGGCAGCACCACAGGGCAGGGGATGGACATCCAGGATCCTGCCAAAGCCAGGCTCTCGCTGGAGGTGGCCTCTACATGGTCAGGTCCCCTGCTCTGCAGAAGGTGCCCTGTTGGGCAGGGGTCAGGGCACCACTGAAGTGAGCAGCATCTCACACAATCCCAGGCTCCACAGGCTGACCTGAAGCCAGGCTGAACCTGGGAAAGCCATCTGGATTCCCAGGAGCTTGCTTTGCTGGGCAGGCTGTAACTTTAGCGGTGTCTGGATGCAGCGATTTCAGGAAAGGAATCCTCATTCCCAGACAAGCACTGCACCCTTTGAAATACAACCTATAGCAATGCTCAGTGTCATGTGAGTGGGATGCTGGAGGCAGAAGGTGCCCAGCTTCTCTCCCGGTCCCACAGAGCCCAGGAGGGACATGCCAGTGGCCCTTCTGGCAGCTGCTGCTGATCCATAGAACACTTCACGCATTTTTCTTTTCTCCTCTGCACAGAGCCTGTTCCAGCAGCTCAGTTTGTGTTTTGGCTCATAAAGCTCAGTCAGACCCCTTGGCTCATCTCCACCAAGGAGGGGGTGGAAAACACGCTTTGCCTGCTCACCCAGAACACTGGTTTTGGCTTTCTGCAACCCAGCCTGTCCCAACTGCCTTTCCAGCCTCCTCCCTCCCAGCTCCATTTTCCTCCTGGCTTCTCCCTGCACCAGGAGGTAAATGAATCATAGAATGGCCCAGGTTGGAAGGGACCTTACAGATTATGTAGCTCCAAGCCCCTCTGCTGTGGGCAGGGACACCTTTTACAGGACCAGGTTGCTCAGGGCTCCATCCAACCGGCTCTAAACACTTCCAGGGATGGGGCAGCCACAGTTTCTCTGGGCAACCTGTGCAAGTGCCTCACTACCTTTACAGGGATGAATTTCTTCCTAATATCTGATCTAAACCTACATCAGTTTGAAGCCATTCCCCCTTGTCCTGTCACTACATGCTTTTGTAAAAAGCCCCTCTCCATCTGTCTTTAGGCTCCCTTCAGGTACTAAAGCAGATGTTGCCAGCTGCCCTCTGGGCTGGCATTGGCCCTCCCCAGAATGCCAGTCAGTGGGACACCAACCCAGGGAATCAGCACTTTTCCGTGGCAGCCCTGGTTTAATGTGATAGCCGCTGGGAGAGGCATGGTATGAGCTCCACAGGAATGGAATTTGGGCCTAACTTTAACAAAATCCTCTCCCAAAGCAAACAGAAAGACCCCAGTAAAACCCCCACCAATTGCACAGATTTCTGTTGCAGGAACTCAAACACACCAAAGCAGCCTTGGGCACACTTAGCCCAGAAACCGACAGCAGAACATTAAAACTGGGACTTGCAAAATACCCAGGGTTGTTCCCACTGATGTGTAAGGGGTACCAGAACGAAGAATCCATCCAGTTTTTGAGGTTGCTTTTTTCTTGCTTTCTCAAGGATGCCTGAAATTACGGTTAGGTGGCCTCAAATCAAAGCATCTTCTGGTAGATCACAGAAGGCAAGGTCAGCATAAGGCAGAAACCGCACAGCTCAACAGACCTTCCAAAGTTGAAACCCCAGGAAGTGGATAAATTCTTACCTGCAGGTCGAAGAACTTGCTGTACCGTCGGTATATGACCTCTGTGGATCCATTGGACCAGGTGACCTTGATGATGTACACCTGTAGGGAACAGAGGAAGGAATCAGAGAGGAATGACCCAACAACCCACACCACAACCCAAAGCTGTCAGCACAGCCCCCAAGGCTGGGTGTAAACCAGGGAGTTCACAGGAGTGCTTAAACTCATTTCAGAGATATCAGAACATACGTTAATTTAAATTATTAAGCTTCACTGCTGCAACTTAACTGTCTACTAAATGCTTATGGCTGAGAACTGAGACAGCTCCCTAGCTCAAAATAGGGGCACACACTAAATGTGAAAGGGCACTTCCATGTAAAAACACAGTTCAAGTCCCTCCAGACAATTATGAGTTAATAACTGAGCCTTGGCCATCCCATCTACAGCTGCAGCATCAAGTTTGATGCCAAAATTCCAGAGTGGCCCCCACAGTAGCCTGGCTGCTGGGGCTGGGGCTTGCAAGACCTCAAGCCCCCAAGGTCTGACACTCCACCTGTTCTGCCATAAGCAGCTCTGAGGTTCTGGGTTCTTTCTGGGGTGCAAACTACCCTCCTGATTCTTAAAATGCTACACAATCAATCCTAGTCATTGCAGGTTATTCACTGATCATATGACCAGGCTCTTACTGGTGATAAATCCAAAACAAAAAACAAAACCCAGCCCATTTCATCATTTGTTCTTCTATGAAAGACAACAAGCAAATAGAAGAATTGAGAAAATTCTTTATCTAATGTCATCACTTGTTGTTCACAGAAACCAAAGATAACCCTTGATGAGATGCCAGTGTAATACTCAAGTGATGCAAATCTCAAATTGATAACAGATTGACTGAGCAGAACGAGGGCACAGTCATTTTTTTCTCCTAACTCATGTCCTCATTTCCCCCAGAAATTCGAGTATCAACTCACTGAAGCAGGAACAAAACATTAAAAAGCCCAGGTGAAGGGACCTGCTAGAACTTCAGCTAACACAATAAGGCATGAAGGCTCTTAGAATGCTGATGTTTTGATATTTAAAACAAAATCCCCTCAAAAGTTTCACAAGTTTTCTCACTTAGATCCCCATTTTTCCAGATTCTGGAATGAGACCAATATCCCAGCCCAATATCGAAACTCAGACCAGGAGATCACGTGGATAACACAACAATCAATTATTTGAGCTCATCAAACCTACTCAAATGTTGTACTAAAAATTTAAGCAAAACCTCACTCTGCTGCTCAGAGGACTGGCACAGCATGACCCCCTGAGGTGAGGAGACTCCTGAGGAATGTCAAAGTCCTCCTGGTGGAATCATTTCCAAATTAAGAAAGATGAAGCAAGTTCTTATTGCTAAAATAAAGAACTTCCCTACTTACAACCCAGCAATTCAACATCTACTTCTGTTAAACCAGATGATGAGCCCAAACACAGTTGTGAGCTGGCTGGGTGTCACAGCACCACCAACCTCTCCCAGACAAAATCTGAATCTCTTCTTTCATTCACAAACTCTTAGTTCTGAGCCGAAACACCTGCACTTTCTACGTGTTAACACAAGGAAGACAGAGGGCTCCTGCAAGACAACATCTGTGCCAGCTGTGGAGACCTGGATAAGACCACGTTCTGCTGTGAGGGGGCACCACAACATCAGCAAACTGTTAACTTGATGCTAAGTGAGCGTCCAAGCTGCCTTTACCCCCATCCCAGGACTTGCCGGCAGGCCAGCATGAGCTCATTTGGGTTGGAAGCTCAGCTGATATCCCAGCTCTCTTACCAGTCTACAGCACTTCACGGGGTTATATCACCGCTGGCTGCCTGCCTGGAGAAAGCCTTCCACTGGGGCAGCAGGAAGAGCCAACTTTTCTTCATTGTTTATTCCTATCCTGCCTTTATTTGGAGTCAACAGCTTATTAGACTGGGATTTTAATCAGGATGTGGATTTACTCAAGCCAAAATGAATTCAGAGCTCTTAAGGGTAATAAAGCCATGAGATTTGAGGGCACACCACACTTTACTGCAACCTTTGCTATTAGGGAAGGAGTATTTCTCCTAAGTGCTGAGCTCACTCCTATTTTGCTGAAATGCAGATCTCCCAGGAGTCAGGGTAACAGTTTCTTGCACATCCCGTTTAAACAGCAGAAAGGTCTCCAGGCATATCTCCTCACCTACTTATGGAAAGCAGAAAAGATGGGGAAGCCCACAGGAACAGGACTTCCTCAGTATCTACAAAATCACTGCCTCAGTAAAGCTGGATTCCTCTTTCTTTGGGAATATCTCTTGTCCTCTCAACAGTCCCATCCAAGGTATTCTATTGACCAGAACCATCACAGATCTTGGTCTCTACCAATACCTAATCCAGTCCCTGCTGTCCTGGGGTTAAAAAAAGATACCAGAAAACACAACTCAGGTGCTCTCAAATAATGACGAGAGTGCAGATTTGGAAAGGCATTAACAGTGCCCTTGGCCACCCAACGATGGTTTCCAGAGGCACTGGAGATGATGAGGCACCAAGCTCACACAAGCATCTACACATTGCCCTCTCAGACACTTGCAGCAATCAAGACAGTTTTGAAAACATTGCATTTGGTCCAAAGTTTCCCCTCCTGGCCTGACACTGCACCACGTCCTGCCAGGAACAGCCACCATTAAGCAGCAGCTTTTAAAAAAAAAAATCCAAATTTTGTCCTGATAGGAGCCACTCCATCAGCTGCTCCCTCAGCCCCCAGTCCTGCAGAGGCTGCTCCGAGTTCAGGCTTTTTCCCAGCCTGGCTGCGTGGGTGAGAGCATGTGGAAAGAGTTATTTCATGGGTCTTCTCCAGCTCCGATTTCTACGGTCCTTCAAAGAAATAACACAGAAAAACCACCAGCAGGCCTTTTCCGTGGAAAGAGCGAGGGGATCTCCCAGGGCTGCAGCTGGCACTGCCTCTGGGACATACACCCATGGGGAGCACTGCTGGGAATGGGGGGGCTGCCACTTGGATCCCTCTCCAATATTTCCTCACAGAGTGGGGAGAGCCGAGCAGATGGCAGGGAGGCAGCGGGCGGTCGGATCCAGGAAGGGGGCTCTGCAACCCCATCCCGTGGGCTGGGCCCCTGGCCAAAATCAACAAGCAGAGCTATCTAAATATTTACAGCCTTTCCCAGGCCAGCAGCAAGGTCTGCACCATGGAAGGGAACTAGCTGACTTGGTGAAACTCAGGAACCCTCACCTCCTCTCCCTTCCTCTGGAAAGGCCACCCTACTCTGGCCCCTCCCAGCCCTGAAAGCCTCCATCCCTCCGTTCCAGCCTCCATCACTGCACATGTGTCACGCCAAACCCTGCAGCGAGGGCTGATGCCTGAAGGCAGTGGGTCAAGCTGAGCTTTGGAAGAGGCAGAATCCACCAGGACTGAACCCTCCTCAGCTTCACTTAATTCATGGGTTGGAAAGAATAGCTGAAATTTGTATCTGTGTTTCCAAAATCTTTGAGATGCAGCTCACAGCATTTGCCCTCCTAAACCAAGGCCAGAGGAGAGGCACAGAGCTGTCAGGGCCACTCCAATACACCCCAAATCCTGCTTTCAGGTTTAAAGGAGCCACAGACACCCCCTCCATTTCCCATCACTCCTCTCTCTGTCTCCAGCTTCCCTGCCCTTGCGCCATGAAATGGTCCCATTGCAGCGTGTTATGGAGGCATTCCTGGCGGGACAACCTTGTCAGAACCTCAGCAAAGGCCAAAGCAAAGAAGCAAGGCCTGCCCTCCAATCCTTGGGAGGACAGAGGCCACAGGGACAATTTTGGAGGTGCGGGTGGATTTTGTTTAATGCCAGATGAGAGGAGCATTTCACACAAACACCAAATCTTCTCCATGCTCCCATCCCTTGGAGGGTGGAAATGGAAGAGATTCTTCAAAGAAAATGGAAACCTGCAGATTCAAAAGGCAGAATTATGACAGTTTCCATGGGGATTTGGCTCCCAAACTCCCTGGGATCTCCAAATTCCCTACACTATAAGTAACTGGTCACATACCAACTACTCAAAAATTACCAGTTGAGAAGTGTAACATCGGGACCATTACTGCACAATATTCTCCTTGGTCACATTAGAAAACAAGTGCCATAAATGGAAACATAACATGGAAAAAAGCCCAGGGAATCCTGCAGTCCACCCAGTGGACACCATAAGCTCGGTCCTCTCTGGCATGATCTGGCATCTGTCATTGCTCTCCCCTCCCCAGCACCTCTGGAGAGGCAGCTCAGAAGGAGAACAGGCCAGTGGAAAATAGGACTAAAAACCCTCAGAAGGGAACTGTCAAAAAATGACAGTTTGCTAAAATAAATGCAAATGGCACTTGGCCAACCGTAACAGAGCTGTCAAAGAGAGCTGCCAGTCAGCTCGGATGGCAGCAAGGGCTCTGCAGCCCTGGGGGAAACACGTCAGCAACTCGCAGCACAAGAAGGTTGGAGGGAGATCCTCCTGGGCAGGATGGCAGCCCAGGCAGGGAGCAAGCTCCACTGTTGGGCATCACCAGAAGAGCAGGGAGGCTGCAGGAGCCAGCTCAGATCCACATCCAGAGCAGTCAGAGTCACGGGGACTCGAGTGTGGAACAGAGGGGAAGAGAAACCAGTGCAAATCATCTCTATCTGAAAGGGCAGCCAGAGACAATTATTTTTTTTTTCTGTTTCTCTTGAAGAAACGAAGTAGCATAAGCCCTGGGACCAGTCAAACACCAGAAGTATTTTTCCAGGGACTGCTGAAGAGCCTCAGTGTTGCAGACAGCAGTGGCTCCTGGTGACTTCCACTGCTTGAAGGGACTGAGAACTCCAGAGCCCTTCACAAGCCCTTGGTGTTGCACCTTCCCCAGGAGGCACATCGTCCCATTCAACAACGTGGGTAGAGAGAGGAGATGATTCAAGCGGGTGACTTGAGGCAACAGAATTAAGAACAGACACTGAAAAAAAAAAAATAACAGAAACAGTTTCCCGTTCTTGAAACAGGAGGTTGTGTGACCTCCTAGAAGAGGTCTGGGCTCCTTGCATAAACACACCATAGACAAGTTGGGAAGCAGCCTGGACTGCTTAAGTTTGAGTAGGAAGAAGGCAGACTGAAGTTACAGGAAAGCCTGGACCTACATTTTCAGCTTTTCTCCTTCCACAGGAGCAGTTTTCCTAAGTTTTGCATGGAGACTTGCAAGGCATCCTGGCTGGGGGTGGGCACACATAAAGCCCACAAGTAAAGCTTTGGGAGAGGGCAGCTCCTGGCTGGCCTGGGAACTCTCTGCCTAGCACAGTTGAACCAAGCTGCAAGTCCAGCCCAAGCTCAGCACCATCCAGCTATGCCAGTTCAAGGCCAAGAGCAGCACAGCCATAACAACAGCAGTTCCCCTGGCATAGCCCAGCCCTCCCTGTGTGGCTCTGCAAAAACCTCAGGGCTTCCCCTGCATCCCTGTGTCCAGAGCTCCCACATACCGAGACTCTTATTGTTCCCACACTGGAAGCACGTGGACAACGTCAGGGTGAAAAGCAACACCACTGTCACTTGGACAGACACTTCCACAGGGATGCAGGGACACGCAGCCCTGCCCAGTGGGCACCAGTGTAGGTCCCCAGCCTCCAGCAGAGCTCCTACAGCAGAGCCAGACGTAACAGCCTCCAGTGGAGGCAGAGCTGTCTGCAGAGCTGTTTCCAAAGGGTTGGAGCCTGTGTGGTCTCGGGTCCAGGGAGACTATGTACAATAAACCTCTCTGTGGAAAACTCCACATATTTAAAGCATCTCTCATCAGCAAAGGGAAAAGCATCAATCAAAAGCATCAGTCTTTCTATTCCACCCGTGCTACCCCCGACCCTGAAACGCAGGGAAGTGGTGAGAGAGCCTCGCACTCTCCCTTCGGCCACCACATGAGAAAGGAGTGCCGAGAAATCCAAAGGGGCAGAGAAACCAAAGCAGCTGAGGGACTGAGCCAAACCAGAGCGGGTTTAATATAGAAAAGGGAGTGGGAAATTGTAAGAGGAAAAGAAAAAAAAAGGAGGGAGGTGGCTAGAAACAAAGAAAGTTCTTGGCATCAAGCTGCTGTGCTTGGCCTCTCTCCATCATCCTTTGCTGCTGCAGGCATGTGGGGCTGGGGAGGGGAGCACAGGGCTGTTGTGCCATAGGATGCCAAAGCCTGGAGCGGGAGAGCTGACCCCTAGCTCAGTCCCCAGACAACTTGTCACCCCTTCACTCCTGCTTTGTGCACAGGGAGAACTAGGAGAAGGGTCATGATGGATCAGACTGCACTGGGAAAGGTATGGAGAAGGTATTCCAGCAGCAACTGGGGATCAGGGCATCAGGGATGCTGCTCTGGTCCCTCTAGCAAAGGAGACAGGCAGAAGCAACAAGTCAGAGCTGCAGGGAGTTGGGCAACAGGGCTGCAGGCAGCATCAGGACAGGCATATCCTCCCCACCACAGCATATACCCCAAGCCAGCCTGCCCAGATATCGAGACTACAAAGCAGCCACCTCCCCTCGCTCCGATTCATCCCTTTGACTGTACCCTCTTCCCACTCCACTACTGTACAGCTTGCCAGGGCACAGCACTGCCTGAGCACACAGCCAGTGCTGCTGGGATGAAAAGTGCACCCACATGAGGCTATGCCAAGCACAGGAACCCCCCTGAGCTCAGACCCCTCAGTCACACCACATACGCACCCGCTCATTTGCTCTGAGTCACACTGAAGGTCAAACATATGGATTCTTTTGTTTCCTATTTCCCACTGCTACATGAAACGGCCGGAAGACAGAGATACCCTCCAAAGCAAAGCTGTGAGGGATCAAGGTCACCAGAGCTCTGAGCAGGCAGAGGCAGTGGACGGCCCCAGTGCTGAAGTTCACTGCTGGAACTGAGGATGAGCATCAGCTTTGCCCACAGAGCTGCACCTGCCTCAGTGGCCGTGTGACAGGCAGGATTTGGCCCTTCTGCTGAACTGTGACACTCAAGGTTTTCAGTAGCCTTGACTGACATGACTAGGGAAGAAAAATAAAGCCTAATTTGCATTTGAGTGCTGGTTTTCATCCAGCATTTTCATTCACAAGGCTAACAGGGCTCCCTTAAACCCCAACTCTGTTGAGAGGTAAGGCAGAAAGAAGGACTGGTTGGCTCTGTAACATTGGATGATGCATGAGGACAGGTCAAAATTTCTACCAGCTACAGGCTCCAAACCTGTGGCCTGCCTGGAGTGGGAGAGCATTAACCAGCCAGCAGGAAATGGGATGAGACATGGCAAAACCACAGGGTACAACAGCAAAACATCACTAAGGATGCTGAGAAAGCCCTCAAACTTCTAGAGGTCACCAGTACTCAGACTCCAGCTTCCTGGGCTGACCCTTGCTTCATACATTCACTGTCTTTCATTCCTAGTTTGGTTAACAGACCCTGCTTCCTAAGTCTAAATGTATCCAGTTCCTTCAGTTCCCCACAGGACATTCCCACCATACCAAGAGCATGGTCACCCTTCCCAGAGGGCACAGCGCAGGGGGGGAGTCATCCCCTGACGCCCTTTTTAAGCCACACAACCAGTATGATTCACAGCAGCAGAAATAAGGCAGCTGCACAAGGTGACACTGTGTCAGGGCCCCACAGAGCTCTGCTCCAGCCAGGCAAGCCAGGACCAGGGGACCATGACACACAGTCCATGGGACACAGGTTCTTTAGAAGAAACCTTCTGTTCTGTATTTGTAGGGCACTGAAGAACCACTGAATCTGTAGATTGGCAGCACTCCTGTCTCACTTGCCATTCAAATGCTCTTCCATGAACATTCCATAATCAGTTCCAGATAAGCAGTTGGGTTGGGGTTGGACAACTCATGAAACCACAAACGGCCTCACCACTACAAGGAACAGGAACACAGACAATACCTACCACAATGTCACAAATTCCACATCAAAATATAACGCATATACTTTTTGAATGTAGTTTTCCCTCAAACAGGTTTTAAAATATCTATAGATGCTATCAACCAGATTCCAACACGCACTGTTAATTACTTTGGCAAGGCAGCTGCCACAAATGAGGTGTTCACCTTGTTTAAAGTCTGCCATCTTGTAAACTGAGCTTGCAAAACAAATCTGTGCTGCTCACTGTTTAAGTTTCCCCTTTTCAAAGCAATATGTGTGTGCAAGGAGGCTGGGAATGGAAGTCCTGCAAGACCACAGTCCAGGTTTCCCAATAAACTAACACAACCTAAAGCATGCTGCTCTCTCTTTCCTGTCAAACATACACATATAAATTTGCTTTGTGCTCTAGAACAACTACTTAAAACTATATGAACTATGGAAATGTTCTTGGAGGGCAGGATGTAGAAATGAAGATGTGATTCAATGGCTCCACTATCAACACATAGAACAACACACA